GGGGACACTAAGACTAAGACATGGAGAAAAAAAGAACCTTAATGAACATGCTCTATTATTAGAAATGAGGTTTTTTGGTGGAAATCCAATGAATACTTTCTTGTCTGAATGTTCTTTGAAGTTGAACACTTTCTCCTTACAAAAGCTGGCCACTATAATTAGCTATGTTTCCATTTTAGTGGTGGCCTTCTTCACCTTATCTTAAATCATATAAAGATGTGATGGCATTTGTGAGATAAAAGGTTTACTCAAACCAGTTCTCTGACCTAGATATCAGAGGTTTGGTAATCATAAATCCACTAAGAGAAACTCTCAGAGCATTTTCAAGGCTATGTAAAAATTTATTTCCTTTTCTTTGAAAAGAGACAGGATTTTATCTCACTTATATTCTGGAAGAATTTTGTAGAATGTACTTGAGTTCAAGAGGGGGAGAAATAATTAACATAATATTAAGAAGCATGTCGATTTTGGAAAGACATAATAAACATATCTACACATGTACATGCATGCATGCCCACACACACACACAGTATACACAAAAGGTCAAGAAAGGAAGTAGAGATATGGTCACACATACTTCCTGGATATAATTTCAACTCTGCCATTTGTAAGCCACATGGTCTTGGACAACTGACCTAATCTCTCTCAATTTCAGCTTCCATGAAATTAGATAAAAAATTTTTTGTAGGAGTGTATATATGTATGAAAAACACAGTGTTTGACATATAATAAATGTTTTAGCAACTGTAACTAGTTAATATTATCATAGCAATTAATGTCACTATAGCAGTTACTTGCCGTTTTCAGCACAGCTAATAATTTTAGTAGCATTTTCTAATGTTTCCATCTTGTGTGCTTTCTTCAGAGTTGTTTCTCGCTCTGTTTTTTTAGCTTTTCTATGTCACATTCTATTTGCATGAAGGAATATCAAATTAAAAAATTTATTTCACATACTATTTCATTTTTAGGATAATTGTCAGTTTCTTATAGTTTATTTTCCTCATACTGACTTTAGAAAATATATACTAAAGAATATTTTCAGTGAAGTTAATTGGATTTACTACAGTTGACCCTTCAAGCAATAGTATCTTGCCCTTAATAACTGACCTAACTTTGAACTAATAAATTCAACCTGCAAATAAATGTAGTGAGGTAAATTATAGAAATTTATCTTCAAAATGGTCTTTCTAAAGTGATCTATCAAAGGTGCATTTAATTAGAGGTCCAGTTCTCCAAAAATGTGCCAAGGAAAAGTAACCACAAAGAATTGAGAGCTGAAATGAATTCTTTCACCCGTTGCTCTATTTCTATAGAACTGAGAATAAATCTAATCTAGGTACTTAGAATCTGTATTATGTCATTGAAGGATGAAGAGATGACAATAGTGATGATAGAAAGAGATGGTAATAGAAAATGTATCAATAAAAGGAAATGATGTGACTATGCAATGCTCATTCACCAGAGGGCTAAATCTAGGGCTATTTTGGTGACTTGAACAGGGAATATTCTATTTTCTGCAAGTAAAAAATATGGACATTTCATTTGGCATGCCACCTGCTCTTCAATCCATCATCTAGCAAGCACCTGCTTAGCACTTTGGAGCTCTAAGTAATACTTGGACTCCTCAAATGTCATCCTTGTTGCCGTTTCTGTTTATTTGCCAATAACAATTAATTAAAATTTGTTTGTGGCTGTCTTAAGGAAATTCCTTGTAGTAGTCAAGGAGACTCCTAATCCTATCTGCCAGTGCTTTCTGAATAGTGGCATCTATTCTTCATGATTTTGGGAACTATTTATGGGTGATTGAAGAATATGGGATTGATAGTGAAGGATGCTTATCATTTGGCTGCACATAAGAAACACAGATGGAAATATTGACTATTTGTGTTCATTCTCTAAAGGTATAGCATTTACACTGGATTGTACTTGTAGGTAATTTTAAAGGAATAACTATTCAGTCTTTTGAATGTGTTATAATTTTGCAAGACTTTTTAAAAATCTTACTGAGAAATTTTATCATAGAGAATGAATTAATACTCTTATAAATTTTAGGTTTGTTTCTTCCATAATTAAAAAATTATCCTAAAAGATTGTGTGTGTGTGTGTGTGTGTGTGTGTGTGTGTGTGTGTGTGTTTGTGTGTGTGTGTGTGTGTGTACTCCTTGGTTTTCCAGAACAAATGTTCCCATTCATTTGTTTTACTGACCTTGTTATAGTTGCTCGCATTGTAAGTTATATCTAGTAAGTTTAATGTTGTTACCTAAATCTGTTTGCTGAATTTTAAAAATGGGAACATGTAGTAAATTTGGGGGAGCACAGCTAGTATTTACAAAGTAAACCCAGAACATTAGATATAAACCCTCATTTCATTTTAACCTCCAGTGAAGGATATATTCAGTATTAGTATTTGTATTATTTCCTTAGCTTCCTTGCTTATCTGTAATATGTAACATGGTGGCACCCCTTTTCATATAATTCTCTCCTCACTTCTTTTTTGGGGGGTTTTACAAGTTCCTTTTCAGTCTCTTCTGCTCCTTTTATCTTTTATTAGTTCAACTTTCTTCTCTTATCCTGTGGAGGTAAATACCTAATTCTGGCTCCATCCCCTTCAGTCACTCTGCAAGTATCACTGGGACAATATTGGACAACTACTGTTTTTACCTCCAAAGCTGTATCCTTAGCCTTACCCCTAATCTGCACACTACAGTTGTTTTTCCAATTACTTTCTGTACATTTGCATCAGTGTTACTCATAGGCATCTTGACTAATGTGTCCAACCTGAAAACATTATTGCTTCCATATACAGGCTCACCTATCTGCCTTATACCTTTAGATAGTTTCTCCCAAGTTACAATATGTTGGTGATTCTGAAAATTTTCTTTTTCCCCATCAAGTCCTGCCAATCCTATATCCACAACATAAGAATGATTCTTCCTGAACATCCATGCTGCTCCTGTTTGTTCAATAAGAACTTGGACTTCTAAAGGAATTTCCTATGTTTCTTTCACCAGCCTCCTATCCTTAAAATCTTTCCTCCAATCTGCTGCTAGAGTTGTCATCTTAAAAGGGTCAAATCAGGGTTGGTATATAAGAAATTTTATAAACTACTAAGTTCTTGGTATATATAATCAACTTGAGAGAAAGAGAGGGAGAGAAAGAGAGAGAGATAAGATTTTATTCTGTCCTCTATAACACCTGAATGATTCTGTACATATTTATGTTAACAGAGCATTGTACTACTTCAAATCCTTATACAAGCCAAAATCCTCATTGCCTTATGGCAATTGAACTTGCTTTTCCCTCTGCCTGAAATAGTCTTCAATATGTTGACATGACTCATTTCTTCACTTCATTCCATTTCCTGAAGAGAGGAACAGTCTTCTGTGCTCACATTGCCTAAAATAGAGCCCACTGTCACTCTCTACTTACTCTTTTTAATCTTTCTTCATAGCATACATATACATATACATATACATATACGTATACAGGCATACCTCTGAGACGTTGAAGGTTCAGTTCCAGACCACCATAATAAAGTGAGTCACAAGAAATTTTTGGTTTCCCAGTGCATAGAAAAGTCATGTTTACACTACACTGTAATCTATTAAGTTTGCAATAATGTTGTGCCTAAAAACTAATGTGCATGCCTTAATTTCAAAATGTTACTGCAACATTCAAGCTGAGAGCCAAATCAAGAATGCAATCTTATTTACAATAGCCACAAAAAATATAATATCTAGAAATTCATCTAACCAAAGAGATGAAAGATCTCTACAGGAATAACTACAGAACACTGATGAAAAAAACCATAGATAACACAAAGAAATGGAAAAACATTCCATGTTGATGGAAAGGAAGAATCAATATCATTAAAATGGACATACTGCTTAAAGCAATCTGTAGAATCAATGCTATTCCTATCAAACTACAAATGTCATTTTCACAGAATTATTAAAAAAAAACTATTCTGAAATTCATATGAATCTAAAAAAGAGTCTGAAGAGTAAAAGCAATCCTAAGTGAAAAGAATAAAGCATGATATTAACCAACTTCAAACTACACTATAAAGCCACAGTTACCCAAACAGAATGGTACTTGTACAAAAACAGAAACTTAGACCAGTAGAACAGAATAGAGAACTGAGAAATAAAGCTGCATACCTACAGCCATCTAATCTTTGATAAAGTAAACAAGAATAAGAAATGGGGAAATGACTCCCTACTCAATAAATGGTGCTGGGATGGCTGGCTAACCATATGCAGAGGAATGAAACTGGACTCCTACCTTTTACTATATACAAAAATTAACTCAAGTTGGATTAAAGATTTAAAAAAATAAAATCTCAAACTAGGAGAATCCTAGAAGAAAAGCCACGAAACACTATTCTAGACATCAGTTTTGGAAAAGAATTCATGACTAAGTCCTTAAAAGCAAATGTAACAAAACCAAAAATTAATAAGTGGGATCTAATTAAACTAAATAGCTTCTACACAACAAAAGAAACTATCAACAGAGTAAACAGACAACCCACAGGATAGGAGTAAATATACACAAACTATCCATCAGAAAAAGACCTAATATCCTTAATCTTTAGGGAACTTAACAGGCAAAACACAGCCTGTTTTAAAAACACGGGGCAAATTAAAAAGGGGGGCAAATGACATAAACAGATAGATACTTCTCAAAAGAAGACAAACAGGTGACCAACAGATATTTTAAAATGTTCCACATCACTTATCATCAGAAAAATGCAAATCAAAACCACAATGAAATACCATCTAACACCAGTCAGAATGCCTATTATCAAACTCTCAAAACCCCACAGATGTTGGTGAGCTTGCAGAGAAAAGGGAACATTATACACTGTTGGTGGGAGTGTAAATTAGTTCAGCCACTGTGGAAATCAGTTTAGAAATTTCTCAAAGAACTTAAAATGCACTATCATTCAACCCAGCAATCCTATTAGTGAGTATATATCCAAAAGAAAATAAATCAAGACCAGTGCTACCGACATGGGAGTGGGTAATGCATCCTCTTGCCATTCCCTGTGTTTGGTCCTTGCCTGTGACGGTGGGAAAAGCAAATGGCCTCGCTGTACTACAACCAGGGCTGCAGTCAGCGCTTTGATCCTGAGACCAATTCTGATCATGCTTGCACATACCACCCAGGTGTTCCAGTCTTTCACGATGCATTAGAGGGTTGGTCTTGCTGTAACAGAAGAACAACTGATTTTTCTGATTTCTTAAGCATTGTTGCCTGTACAAAAGTTATACATAATAGTGAGAAACCACCTGAGCCAGTCAAACCTGAAGTCAGGACTACTGAGAAGAAGAAACTATCTGAATTGAAACCCAAATTTCAGGAACACATCATTCAAGCCCCTAAGCCAGTAGAAGCAATAGAAAGGCCAAGCCCAGATGAAGAATTGACAGATTTGGAATTAAAAATATCTGCCTCTCTGAAACAAGCACTTGATAAACTATCATCAGGGAATGAAAGAAGATAAGAAGGAAGAAGACAATAATGACATTAATATTGGGACCTCATTTAAGAATGGAGAGTGTTCGAAGACATATCCGGGTCTAGAGAGTCTAGAAGTTTTCTGTGTATATCATTCTGGAGTACCTATTTTCCATGAGGGGATGAAATACTGGAGCTGTTGTAGAAGAAAAACTTCTGATTTTAATACTTTCTCAGCCCAAGAGGACTGTACAACAGGGAAACACATGTGGACTAAAAAGCATGCTGGGGAAAAGTTGTTCTATGTAGACATGACTGGCATGAGAGTACAGGTAAAGTTATCATTTCAGTAGATGCTAAAAATTCACTTCTAGAACTTAGTCGAGTAGAAGCGAATAGCACATTGTTAAATGTGCACATTGTATTTGAAGGAGAGAAGGAAACAGATCAAAATATGAAATTATGGGGTGTGATTGATGTAAAGTGAAGTTATGTAACTATGACTGCAACAAAGATTGAGATCACTATGAGAAAAGCTGAACCGATGCAGTGGGTAAAACCTTGAGCTGCCTGCAGCAAAAAAGCAGAAAAAAACAAAAAGATGACACAACAGATCGAGTAGGAGATGAGAGGAAGGCTATTATGTATTTCAGAATTCTTAATACCGTGTGATGTGGTGGCTTGCTGCTGTAATCTTTTGTTTTTCTGTGTGTTACTGAATCTGGCATTTCAGAGTTAACATTAGGTTCTTAAAAGCTAAAGTCAGTTTGTCTTTTTGTGCCTCTCATCTTTGTTATACATTAAATTATGCACACAATTTAGCTTAGAAGGAATATATAGAAGAAATGCAATTTTAATTTAAAGGAAATCAATGAAAGGATTAAGCATAAAATAACAGCATTTTAATTTTTCATAGAAATGGGTTTTCTGAGATACTGTTATAATCAATAACATGAAGATGTAAAATTTCCCAAGAAAAATTGTTAAAGTAAATCTAAAAGTAGAAGAGTAGATTCTGTATTTAACTCTAGGAGGTTAGTTAGATAGAAAATAATCTGTGCCATGAAACTTTCAACTGCCTGTGTGAACAAAAGTCTCTAGTAATGCCCACCTTAACTCAATTCCCATAGGCTTAAAGTTGCAACAGTATTTATTTGCCCATTCAACAATTTTTTCTTTAGCACCTACTATGTGTTAGGCGCTTCTAGGGATATGAGTGAACAAGGTAGTTATAGGTCTTACTCTCATAGAGGATAATTCTTTAGGAATGGTCAAAACTAGACATGCACACACAGTTTGACTAATTGTGATGTGTTTTGAAGAAGGCAGCAAAGGAATTGGAACAGTTTAAGTAAGACTGCAGGTTGGCAGTGGGAACAATGGTCTTTGCTATCATTTTTCAAAAATCCCAATGAATGGGAATGACTATTGTTGCATTAAGTTGCATGTCCCCTGCTGACCCATAGTGATTATCTATTATCAGAGAGATAGGACTGGTTTTTCAGCATGAGATAATATTAGTCAAACAAATTCAGATGATGAAACCAAAATTTCTTAATGCTTAGAAGTAACATTAATTTGATCAAGTCACTTAGATGATGTGTTATTAAAAAGTTGTGAGATATGAAGAAGTAGCTGTTACTACTGCCAATAGCATAAACGTTAGATCCAGATCTAAGTGTGTTTGAATATTAACTTGCCTACATCCCATGAGGTTCTGGGCAAGCTATTCTCATCATTGTCCCTACCATCACTACTATCCCACCCACCCTTGCTTAATTTTCTTATCTGTAAAGTGGGAATCTATATGAATCGGGGTTGGGGAAGGCAAATAGTAGTCATTATACAAATGGTAACTATGCCATCATCAATAATATAGTCTACAGCTATGATGAAGCTAATCAGAAAACATTGTCTATTATCAGTAATTAGCAATATCAATAAATATCATAAGAGAAGTCCCAGCTGTCAGTGAATAAATAGAAAATAGTGCTTTGTCTTAGAGAAACATATACAAAATAAATGGTGGTGACATTGATTTAAGTTAACTCATCAGTTTATATGTATAATGCATATATAATTTTAAATATATAATTTAGACATTGTACATGGTTTTGGCTTGGTAATATATGATATGCCTAAATCACAAATGTATAGGTTGAAAGTTCAGTTACTTTTTTCCTTTCCTTAAATCATTTTTACTTTGCTGAAGATAGGCTCTTTTCTCTACTTCTTTAGAATAATATATTTTATTTTCTCTTAAAGTATTTTGAGACCATGTAGCCATTTACTACACCAAAATGGTTTTGTTTTTTGTTGTTGTGGTT